CACATTTTCGGCGTGTTATTCATAGTTTTTCCCCCCCTCCCCAGCCCCAGCCTAGCAACAGCCCCTCCACACCTGGACGGGCACTTTTTTAAAACATGTGCACGGGAATTTCCAATTCGAAACACTTGTTTCGCTTCGAAACTAAATTTCTTTGCACAGACTATGGCTATTTGTTTAATAGATGAAAAAAAAAATAAGGAAAGCGAACAGCGGGGAATGAAAAAATAAAATAAAAGGCGGTCGCCAATATTTGCAATATTATTCAACTTCTTGTCTGGGACCCCAGTCCCCCCGCATTGTTGTTATTGTTGTTATTGTTGGTAATGTTGAGTCTGCATTTGTTTTGCGTTCCATTAAAAAACACATCCAGAACAAATATCGTTGAAATATGGGTGTGTCACCTTTTCTCCCTTTTATTTATTTATTTTATTTTTTTCTCCATTTTGTCAACAATTTCTGCATATTGCCAATGCGGAATTTTTGTTATTGAACACGGCGGAGCAAATATTTTCTCAAGCTCGCCGCTTTTTTAGTTATTTCTTTATTTTCGGACAGAGCCAGAGCCAGAGCCCAACACTCTGCTCTGACATGTGTGCTCGACTAACTAATTTGTTATACATACATATATATACATACATATATACATATGTGTACATATATACAAATATGTGTACATAGATGTAGAGATACTTGGAGACAAGAATTGTTTGTCAATTAATAATTTCGTTTTATTTTCGGCTTTTTGTAGCAAGTATTTTTAAAGGCACGTGTGTGTAGGGCCCTGGAAATTTTGGAATGACAGCTGTTATGGGTTTGAGATCGGCAAATAAATGCTTTATTTAGATTCGGATTGGATGAGTCAATAGTGTCCGCATAATTATCAAATGTTTCCTAATGGGGTTTCCTGCCATATGCTGCCATTTGTCTGCGCAAAAAAACAAAAGCGCTGCCAAACAAATACCCATTCGTTGCTCACATTGGTGGTGGATTCAAGGAAGTGAGTTCCAACAATGGCGAGCTCGAAAACAGGAAGGATTATAATTTCATGGCAGAGAAGGAGAGTACATATTTATTTTTGGTTTGATTGCAAAAAAGATAATGACGCTCAAAATGTGCAAAATTGCTCGGGGATTTAAGGGGTTAAGGCAAGTCACCCAGATCGGAATGCCGAACAAACAAATGTCCTTTATGTTGAAACGATCTATATATGTATGTATGTATGTGCAACAGCTGTTGAAAGCCTGTTTTAATTCCTAGAAAAAATAGCAATTTAAAGCAAATATACCAGATATAAAGCCAGAAAATAAAATAGGAATTGAGTTAACAAATCGGCTGCTCACTAGGAAGGATGTATACACTAATAATGTTCAGTGGCGTGGAAAGTAAATCCCCGATCGGTGGGGTATTAAAGAAGCTAGACTGGAATATGAATTTGGAAAGATGTACTCTATCAGTTGAAAACGGCGACAATTCAGAACCAAAAATAGAATAAGCTACCTACGTAAAAATATTATATTCGCCAACTATCTATATCGCTGGCAAAACTATTATTTTCCCATAAACTATATAGCTTGCTATAACTAAAAATAAAAATAATAATGTTCAATGTTCACAACGCTAATAAAATATAATATAATGCCATATAATTTAACAATTGTCTACCTTAGGACAGATCCTAAATAAAAAATAAAGATTTTGAAAGAAAAAATGTTTACAAATCGTTTTCAAAATATTTTCCTTGGAACTACCACTTTGTCGCTTAATTTTTAGTAATATTGGAATGAATAATGACATGCATTTCGTACAGCTACCAAAAGAACATATATTTGTAGTTGGATATACATATCTGATCAAAACCAAATATTGGTATGCATATGACCGCTTTTTAGTTTTGTTTTCAACAATTTTAGACGTTAAGAATATGCGGCTCTGCAACTGCGAATCTAAACTCACTCTCTCTCTCTCTCTCTCTCTCTCTCTTCACTCTAATCGGATCCGTGCTGAAGCCCCACTATGATCTCGATAGGTGCAGGCTTAAGTCTAATAATACTGTGATGGTAAACATATTTTCTTACACGTGGACTTTGTCTATAAAGATATCATCCGTAAATTTTAAAACTCAAAATTAAGAAGCGACTACTTTGGTATTTAAATCTGTCTTTTTTTGGAAAAAGTCGGCTCATCTCCCTCAGGTACTGATCTTCCAAACTAGATATATCCCAAATCTGTTTTAAGAAATGCTAAAACAGCAACCAGTTACCTTCGATAAGCCATTTAAAGCCATATAGTATAATGATAAGATGTGACAATAAAGGTGAAAAAACATACCTGCATGACTTGAATGTTTAGACTAGATAGCTTGCTGTTGTTTTGATTTTGAAAATAACAACAATCTATTTATTCAGATATAGTCGGACACGTATATAGTATTTCTTTTGAATTTGGCAACATATGTCTATGGAATCATATTTATTTTTATAAATACGTACGACAATTTAATTAAGCATTTTGTGATGTGTGTGATGCTTTTTGAATTCTTTGAAATATTATAAAGTGCATTGGACTACAAATTTTATGGTTGAGAAAATTCATTTTCGAGACAATTTTTCAGAGATTAGCTGTGCAGCAGAACCCAAAAGGAACGCGTTAAGTCATCCGGTTGACATTTTTATCTCAAACAGCTGAATCAATTCTGAGCAAAACAACAACAGCCTAAATAATGGAATGGACAAACGGACAAATATTAGATATATCCAAGCATTCGGGATTATTTCCACTGTACATCGTCAGCTAGAAAAGACATAGCTGGATTATAAAACTAAATATTTTGATTACTTGAAAAAATCATCTTCTAAAGAGAGTAGAGAACTATACATACTTGTATTTAATCAAAATATGTTGAAATCTTACATTTCAGGTTCCCTTTTATTAAAAATATTTCATATTTGAAAACCGGCTTGCAATCATGATTACTTAACAAAATAATCTCCCTTGAATGTTAAACTAAGTCTTCTATTTTTAATCCTAAAGAGAGTACTGTATTACATCATATTACATACGTATGTTGAAATCTAACTTTTTATGTAACCTTTTATTAAAAATATTTCAAATTTAAAAATCAACTTGCAAATTATTATTTCTTAACAAAATCATCTTCCTTGAATGTTAAGCTAGGTCTTCTATTTTTAATCCTAAAGGGAAATCTAACTTCTTAAGAAATCAAATATTACAAATTTGAAAACCGACGTGCAAATCATGATGACTTCAATGTTAAACTAGTGTTTCTATTTTCAATTCTATACAGAGTAAAATCACAAAAATCCTACTCCACGAAATATTACGAAAACTACTTTTTTTTTAGAATTTTCTGTTAGAGGAAGCTTGGGTGATAAAAAGGTAAAAAATAGACTACCAGCCTTGCCTAGTTTTCCTAGTCCCTTTCATTCAGAAAGATGTAGATGTATTTGCTGCGACTTGCTGACTAAGAAGATACCCCGTTAAGATAAAAGTTATCCTACTTTACCCAAACCAGCTATACCCTTTTTCCCTTTTGGGTACTATATGTACAAATGCCTCCAGATGGGCACCTTTTTTCCTAGGCAATGTGAATGAATTTTTGAATGCGGCGCTGTTGCCAATTTTCAGCCAAGTTCAGCAGGCAATGAACCGCCCGAACGACAGACACTGTCTATGACGGTGACGCTGCAACGACCCATTTGGCGGGTTGAAGAGTGGAGGAGGAGGAGGCGGAGGCGCCACCACCAATCTCAAAACTGGTTGTCGCATGCATACTCGTATATACATACTAGGCTTGTGGAGGTTGGCTGTGTTGGTGCTGCTGCGACGCTATGCGACGCGACGCAACGCGCATTGCACTTAGCTGCCTCTGTGGCTGTTGCTGCTGTAAAAGAAAGTTGCAAGCTGACGTTGCATCCACCCTTCCACCTCCCCACCCACGACCGAGCACAGCTGTGCTGAGTGTGTGCCATGAAAAGAAAGCCGTTTTGTTTGTATTTTTTCCACAATTATTTTCCGCTAGCGCAGGAAAAATTATATGCTTTTATTTTTGTAATTTTTTTTCTTTTGTTTTCTGTGTTGGTTGGTTTTTTTTTACAATATGGTTGTTGTAGTTTTTTTTTGTTTTTTCGACTTACATTTTGGTTACAAATTTCTCACAATTATTTTGTTTGTTTTTTAAATTACGCAATAAAAAAACTTAACATTAAATACAATATATTTTGTTGTAATAATAAAAAAATTAATACATTTTGTATTTTTGTTTTTCGTTTTAAGGTTTTCTTTCTCTTGTTATTGTTGATGTTTGTAATAAATAGTTGTTTTTAGATACTTTTTTGCTTGTAATAGATACATTTCGTTTGTGTATATTCTTACTGTGGGTGTATGTGTGTGTGTGTGGGTGTGAGAACATTGGATTTTGTTTAACTTGTTGGGTTAATTTGTAATTTTTAAAAATTATATCGCATAAATTTTAGTGTTTGTTTTTGTTTTTTTATCGCAATTGGAGTTTTCCACAGACAAAAGAAAAATTTTACAAATTTTTTACGCTTTCACATTTACTGAGATATTCTTTGCCTTAACGTTTATCAATTTAACGCTTTATGCTTGATTTTTTTTTTCAATTTTATTTTTATTTGTAGTTTTTAGTACGCGCTATACATTTAATAATATATAAAAATTTGTTAAAATCCTAAAATTTGTTGGTTTTAATTAATATTAATTAATAATTTAAAAAAATTTTAATGCAGCAAGCTGCGTCTAACTAAAATGGGAGCGGAGCGTTACGTTCGCCTCTCTATTTAAAACTGTTCTTATGTGTTTCGACCATCCATCTGCATCTGCTTGTGCATCCGCATCGGAATCTGCTTCGCGTTCGCTCCACGCACTCTATTTTAAATTTTAAATTTAGCAAGATCAAGTTTTTGTATTTTGTTTGTTTGTTTGCTTATCCCTATAGCATACAATTTAAAAATCTGTTCACATTTAAGTTGTATTATACATATCTTTAATATATGTTTTTAATTTGTGTATCTTTTATATATTTTTTGTTTTATCATTGTTTTTTGCCTTGCCGTGCCAAAACCCGCCACGGACGACAAGGACTCGTGGCTGGCGCACGCAAAAAACTCTTAGCATCTTAAACAGTATCACATATTCATGAGTTTGTCGACTTGGGCCTGTCAGGGGCGCATCGGCGGACTAACACACATATGTATCTACATACATACTCCTACAACAGAATATACACCTCTCTATCTCTATATCCGTTGTGTATATGTGTGTGTCTTGGTGGTCGCCAAATGAAAGGACCGCCGATACGGCCTGTGGCCGCCGCCTTTGAATTTCATGTTGGTTTTTTTTTGTTTGTTTGTTTTTTGTTTTCTTTTTGTTTTGCTTTTGCTTTTGAAAAAGGAGAAACAACTTAAAACACTAATTATTTTGTTTATGCTTTTTAGCCCTACGCATCTAAGTAAAATGGTGGTGAGAGTCACAATTACAAATTGAAATTGAAGTTTAAAGCTGGCGGCGTCGTTGCGCCCGCTCATCTAGTATTAGTATGAGTGTGTATGCTAATGTGTATGTGTGTATGTGTGTGTATTTGTGTTTTGTGTGTGTGTGTAAGTGTGAGTGTGTGTAGGTGGGGTGGCTTCGAATACTTGCTTCATCATCGCGCTGCATCGCATTGCATCCGCGTCGCTCAATCATCGGATTATCATTATAATCGTTCTGATTTTCGTCTTCATCTCTTCTCCTCCTTCTATTACTTCGTCTTTGTCGTCATCACGACATCACAGGGTGTTGGGCGGTGGTTGTTGGTTCCAGCAACTCACTTATGTCGTGGGCGTGGCAATGGCCTGACTGCTGCTGCCAAAGCTATAGCTGCGACGAGCGCCCAAACCATCGGCCGAATATAGTTTGTGCTTAGTTATGGTATATTCGGGACTGATGGTTATGGTACGGGCCAGACTCTTCATGAATTGCGGCAGCAACGCCGTCCAGCCACGATGATGATCCTGACGCAGTGTCAGATACACCTCGAAGGTGGATACCGTTTCCGGATCCAGCTTGAGGGAGGCAATGCGTCGCGAATTTTGCGGCTCATCCTCAAATTCAATGTAGATGGTGGCGCCTCGAATGCCGCACGGCTCCTTCTCCGAAACGCGTATTATTTCCGCCGCAATGTTGGGCGTGAGATCACAGGGTATCGAGACTTCGGTGCAGGTAAGATGACGCGACTTGGCCGCACGCAGCTCATCTAACAGTCGCATCGACAGCTCATTCACAGCAGTCGCATCGATGTCTGTTACATTTCCCAACTCGTCGTCATCGCCATAGGGGGTATACGTATAGGCCTTGAAGCGGCTGTTGCCGATGCTGTTCGTATAGCTGGCTGCACTGGGTTCTTGGGTTTTCTTGCTGATGCTGCTTGGCTCTTGTTTGCTGTTGCGCTTAATACTGTGGTTCCGATTGTTGGTGTTGTTGTTGTTATTATTATTATTATTGATGTTGTTGTTGTTGATCATGCTGCGACTATTGTCGTTGGCAGCAACTTTATTGGGACCTGTGGCGGTAGCATGAACATCAACAGCGAGCGGTGTCAATGTGCTGGTCCAATCTAAAAGTAAAACCAAGAAAGCAGAACAAATTTCGATAAGTTGAGTTTTTTGTTGTTTTTTTTTTTTCTTGCTTAACTAAATGGGCACTACAACAACAGTCTATAATAGTATTGTAAAGCGATAAACAAAACAGCAGCAAGAGCAATAACAACAACTACTAGAGGCGACGACACGCTATATGCGCGTCCATCCCATCCCATCCCACCATTCCATCCCATCCATCCAATTCGCTTGCTCGCTGCTCATCCATTGCCCAACGCACAGTACACGCAAGCGAGTCGATTGAAGTCGCTTGGCAACAGGCCCGCAGAGCAACCGAGTATGCGAACGTCGAGATAAAAGCGGAACAGCAAAAGGCAATGAGCAACAGCAACCAACAAAAAAAATGAAAAAACATTTTTTTTATTGCTTTTTTGTTTCATTAAATTTTTTGTTGTTGTTGCGTACGTGACCGTGTCGCTCTTGTTGTTGTTGTTGTTGCTGTTGTTTCTGATTTGTTTTGTGTTTTTTTAATATTAACAATTTTACATGTTTTTATTTTTATGACATTTTATTGCCCCGTTGCTGTAAAGCCTCTTGTAATTGCTAATTGATTTTTTATGCATTGCACATTTTGTGTTAAAAAATCATTTTAATGCCTGGCATGCATTTCTTTATGTTCGGAGTGTTTCCGAAATTTGGGACAAAGGCGTTTCAAAAATATGAAATTGTACTCTTGAAGTGACTTGAGTTTACAACAAAAAAAAAATTGAAATGCTAAAAATAATTTTGCAATGAATCGACAATTTTTTTTGTTCAGATTATTTTTTTAAAAAGGTGAAATACAGTTCACAAATTCAGAAATTTCTAGAACAGTTCCGTTTCGTATCTCAATTCCAGAAATTTCTTAAAACTTTAGAAATGCGACAGTAATATAATTGATATGGAAGGTTTTTAAAATTCTCAACCAACTTTTGGTTTTAGAACATTTTTTCGAAATTTGTAAAAAATTATTTTTATCAGTATTTTTTAGACTACTGTCCTGCTTTTGGAGCAGTTCCTATTTTTATGAAATGTTTCGAAACTTACCTCTAATTTTATTTGATCCAAGCACACTTTCATACATCGACGGAATAGCAAGTACTTCCATTTTCATTTGACTTTTATGTGGAAAATTCGCAGCGAGTTTTCAGTTGTTGAACTGAGTTTTGCCGACGGGTTTTCTTTTTACTGGCGACGGCGGCTGCTGCTGCTGGTGGTGGTGTATCACTTTTTTCAAATTTGAAAATTTATTTTTACGATTAAGAATTTATTATTATTATTAATTTATCACAATTTGCTGTTTTTATGCTGCTGATTGCTTCAGATTTGTTGCAGTTGTTGTTGGTTTAAATTAACTTTGCTTTTTGTAGTTGAAATCACAGCACTTTTGTTGTTGTTGGTTGGTTGTATTATTTGTTGTTGTATCACTTAAATGGCGTTGGTCCGTTGCATTTGTTTGATGGCAAATAATTTAATATTATTATTGAATAAAAATTTGTTACAAGTACTAGATGTACATTTTAATATGTTTTGTTGTTGGTGGTGTGTATGTCTACATAGAATTCTTCTTGAAACAATTTTCTTTGATTGTGTCTCGTCTTGTCCAACAGTTTCAATTTTTCAACACACGCTATTTTATCGCTTTTGCCGTTATTAACCTCAGCAGTGTTTCGAAGCTACTATGCAGCGCAGCTAGCGGTCCGCTCTATTTATAGGCCGCTGAGCCGGCCGCTGAGCAGAGCAGTCGCTACGTGAGCACTTGTATTATGCGAGAGGGGGTTGCGACGCTAGCTGTTGAGTGAATGAGTGAGTAAATAAGTGAGTGGGTAAGAGAGAGAGATAGAGAAAGAGCAGCCGGCTTTACCATCGTCACACATATTTGCTGAGCAATTAGCGGTCGTGCGCTCCGCAAAGAGACCGCAATGTGTTTGTATGTGTACCACATGCATATAAAAATGTATGCCTGTGTGTGTATGTGGGTGCATTTGTAGCCGTAGTTGTGTGCCGCAGGTAAAGAAGAAGACAAAACGGCTGATGTAAGTTGGCTGCTGGTTTTACACAGATATTCATTCCTGTTGTTGCTTTTTGTAAGGCTCAGACTCATACACATCAGCTGTTTCACACGCACAGCTAAACAACAACAAGTACGTACTATGTACAAAATGTTCACTCAATTTTGTTATATGCGGAGCTCGAACTCTCTTATTTGCTTGTTCACTCGCTCATGCGCGCACCTACAACCGGTCAAAAGAAAACGAAAAATAAAAAAAACAGCAAACTGAGACTGCCGGCGTACTCACAGTAGAGATGGTCATGGACCGGCTTTTTTCGGCCCAACACGACACGGCCACGAAATTGACTTTACAAAACACGCACTACGAATAATAATGGAACACGACCTGGCACGAAATAAATAAATATTGTTTGTTTTTTAAGCGAATTGTATACAGAGGGTCATATTTCTGAAATATATGAATTTTTTAATAGTACTGTAAATGAGGAAACGTAAATTTTGCAGTAATTTTTAATTACAAATTGAAATAAGATATATGTATTCAACCTGTTAGTAAATAGTGATTTATTAAAAATTTAGGTTTGGGTGAACACTTATTTGTAAAATAAATTGCCTTTCAGTTACTTGGCAAATAGTACACTTGCAAGAATTCATCCATTTTCTTATTTTCAACTTTGACATTTCAAAGACCATTTATATTTGCACGTTCCTAACCAGCAGGACCTATTCAAACGAAATCACCTGCCTTTTATTGAACAATGAATGGAAAAAGCCACGATGGGCCACGAACAAAAAACACGGCCCATGCCCACCTCTAACTCACAGTCCCCAATGTTGGTGTTGGTGTGCTGGTGCTGGTGCTACGTGAGACTGTGTGTCTCTGTGTGTGTGTGTGTTTGATTCTGCGTGCATACGTGACTTTCGTGCCGGTTGAGCATGTTTTCGCTGCCGGCGCAGGCAGACAGGGAAACAGGCCAAAAAGGATGATGAAAATGTTCTGCCAGCAAGGAAGCAGCAGCAACAGCAACCCAAAAATAAAAATGTACAAAAAAAAACAACAACAACAACAGCTATCAAACTGAAACCAAACGCACACGTACACACAATTTTCGTTGCCACTTCACACCCTCCCGTCGTGCAACGTTCCGTTCCACATTACTGCGCTGCTGCTGCCTCACACACACATACACGTACTCGTCGGTTGCTGTTCTCACTAGTGCCGTGTTGTTGCCGTCGTTGTTGTTGTTGTGAGGACGCACCATGTCAAAATTGAAATTTTCCACTGCAGTTTCGCAGCACAAAGCACCAACAGGCCTCAAGTCCGGACAACGGCTCCGGCACCAGCACTGGCTCGGGCTCGGACTCGGACTCGAGCCCAGCTCTTGAGTGCAGAGTGGCCAAAAGTGGGTTGGATGCGTTACTAATAGTGTATCAAGTTGCAAGGCTGTGACTTGCCAACGAATTTCCAGATACTAGTAGCCAGTCCCAGCAACAGTAACAAATGGTCTCTGGCTGCTGTTGCCATGCGGCATGGTTGCCCATTGCTCGGGGAATTTCACAACTGTTTAGTGGACCTGGCCAGAGATACAAATACATACATATACATACATATGTATGTATCTACAAACATATGTACATACATATAAATAAATTGTATCTGAACAGTTACTGTGTTTGCACACACGGCCCATCAACAATAAAAACAACAAAAAAACGAAGTACGGCCATATTTCTATGGAAATTGGCAGATAGAATATGTATTTCAAAATAACAGCAACAACAATAATAGTAGCAACAAGACTTTTGTTTAGTTTGCCAACGCTATTATTGTTGTTGTTTTTGTTGCTCTGGTCTGAATTGTTGTGCCATTTTTTAATCAAAGTAAATATTGAAACGTATTTCCGGAGAAGCAAAATATATTTTATGGCATGTGCATGGAAATTTCTAGAGCTATAAATTACAGAGCCTGCAACCAACTACAAACACAAACACATGCATTTATATATATGTATGTATGTAGATATGTACATACATGCAGCATGCAAACATGCATAAGTACTATATATAGTATAGATACATACATAGGTACTATGTGTCGAAGCTACCAGCTGCGTTGGCAAAACATCTCTGAACTGAAAGACGTTTGGGAACCTTGAACTGATTAGTCATCATCTGCTTGGTTATATTAATTAAGTAATAATCGTCGTAAACCTAATCATTTAGATGAGGTATTTAATAATCAAAATTAAACAGATATGCCCAGTGATTATAAATTAGTACTACTATATATGAACTATAATACCACACCACATTATCCTCAATATCTATTAGATATTAACCTCACCAATTCCTCCTAATACTATAATTCTTGTAGCTCCAAATAACCAGAAGCTAAAGCTTTAGGGAAACAATTATAAATGAACTATAAATTCAGATTTTTATTTTTTAATAATAAATAGTTTTTTGATTTTCACAAAATGTGTGAATCTTCAAATTTGTTTAAAATTCTTGATGGTTTAAAGAAATACTATAGAGTGAAAGGTAATGGAAATAATGTGAAATAACCTTTTCTTGGAATGCAGATTTTATAACAAAAACATTAACGAAAAAAATAAAAATTAATACATATATTAAATTTATTGATAGTTTAAAATTAAGAGTGGGAAGTCTCTTTCGAAATGGTTTTATTTGATTTCGATTCCCAAAGGTTCTCTGCTATATTCCCTCTGCTATATACGCATAGAAATTGCAGCGAAATATAGAAAATGGTTCGACTAATATTTGACTTTCACGCCTTAAAGACTTCTCTAGAAAATCATAATTTCATAAAATGCTTTCTAAGAATGAAGAGCAAGCAGTACGACAACTTCTTTAGATCTAGAAATGGAAGCCAAGTAATTACCGACGTTCTCAATTTATAAAATTGAATACCGATTTATATAGAAATGTGTTCATTCAAAAAATAAGTAATTTAATTAACGTGTTGATTCATTTCTTGGCTTCCGAGAATGGACATCCAACAAATATTCCTCTTTATACATACATATGTATGTATGTTTTATTTATGTATATACCGATACATATAGTATGTATGTAGTATCTATGTATATATTATGAGAACTTCCAGTAGCATGTGAAAGAGACATTTATTCGAATCATTTCATATTCATGTCAGGCTTTCGTGCTGTGTGTGTCCTTTCTTTTCAATTGAATGCATTTCTTAGATTATTTCTTCTTATCTGTGGTAGTTGTTGTTGTTCTTGTAATTGTTGTTGTTGTTGTTGTAGTAGCTGTTGCTGTGTTGCACGTAGATTGAGAATGAAAGATTGAAATGTATCTGGCCTGGACCTGTTTCGGCTGAAAAAGTCTTCAGAGTCAGAGAGCGCGGCCAGCAGATACAAATAATAAATATCTGTATCTGAGTGAGTGTGTTTCTGTTTGAAATTGAAATGAAATTCCATGCAGCATTCATTCTATGCATCCTATGGACACTCGCTTATGTGCATATAGTATGTATCTTTAAGATATATTGCGAGCAACATTAGCTTTATGTAGATATCTGCTGGATAACAAATGAATGTGAGACAAAAATAAATAAACAAGAACTTGTCATGCTCTCCTGTGTGTGTGTGTGTGTTTGTGTGTCTGTATCTGTGTGAGTTTTGCAAATGCACATAACAACCTGAAACTGAGTACGAATGTATTTCACAATCTTTGAAATGTGACGCAGCTATTTGATTACCATTGAGGATTTGTTGTACGATAAGGAACTGAAATAAATGTTTCAACAAAGGCGTTCAATTGAAGCTGACCGATAGAGCTATAGTATTATAATAATAAATATGTATAGGGCTTACATATATATTTTGATAGCAAACAGGAGTCTCATAAACCAATTCAACAGAAACATGCTTCAAAATTTGTTAAATCGTTACTGATCTGATCTGTTTTGTCTGCTTTTAAGAATTTTTGCTGCATTTTCCCAATAACTATATATGTAAATTAATATTATAGCCAACGATAAAATATTTTAAGTCACTTTCTAAATATTTAAAATGTTTTCCATGAAATATATATATTTCAGGAATGAATAGGAAAGGGGAATTTTCAATAAAGATATTATATTATAATATTTATTCCTCAAAGTATTTTAAAAGAAATGTTACAATCCACATAATGAATGGAAAACAATAAAAGAGTAGTACAAATATATATATTTCAGGAATGAATAGGAAAGGGGAAGGAGAGTTTTCAATAATGATATTATATTATAATATTTATTCCTCAAAGTATTTTAAAAGAAATGCCACAATCCACATAATGAATGGAAAACAATAACATTATAGTACAAATATATTTATTTCAGGAATGAATAGGAAAGGGGAAGGACAGTTTTCAATAAAGAATGGAAGACAATAAAAGAGTAATACAAATAAATATATTTCAGGAATGAATAGGAAAGGGGAAGGAGAGTTTTCAATAATGATATTATATTTTAATATTTGTTCCTCAAAGTATTTTAAAAGAAATGCTAAAATCCACATAATGAATGGAAAACAATAAAAGAGTAGTACAAATATATATATTTCAGGAATGAATAGGAAAGGGGAAGAAGAGATAAACAGTGCCGCTATGAATTGCGGAAAATT